GGAGGAGGAGGAGGAGGAGGAGGAGGAGGAGGAGGGGAGGAGGAGGAGGAGGAGGAGGGGGGAGGGGGAGGGGAGGGGGAGGGGAGGGGGAGGGGGAGGGGGAGGGGGAGGGGAGGGGGAGAGGGGGAGGGGGAGGGGAGGAGAAGGAGGAGGAGGAGGAGGAGGGTTCTCACGCTCGTGCCGATGACGCCGTCGTCACCGTGCAAGCGAAAGCTTGTGCTCCATGCGTGCGCGGACCTCATTTGCGAGGGGGGGCGCCGGAGGAGGGGGCGCAGAAACAGGAGGGTGGACAGGGGGCCCTCCAGGACTTCAAGAACATCGGCATGCTCTTGTTCCTCGTCTGCCTCAGGTGGGCCACTAGGCCTTGGGGCTCGAGTGGGGCTGGCGGTGGCTGTGGAAAACGCCCGCTGTCTGGGTCAGCTCTCTGCCTGCGCTGGCCATCTGCTGGCCGTGCAGAAGTCCGGGCCCCACCCTCCTGCTCTTCCTGAACAAGGGGTTCCACTCGACATCAACAGCAGCTCGAGACTGGCGGAGCGCACCCTCCCCCTCGTGCACGTCCAGAGGTAATCGGACGGGGCCTGGACGAGGATAAATCCGTTCCAGAGCGTTCTGGAACGCTCTCAGAGCGCTCCGGAACGCTCTGACTCTGGAACGCTCTGAGAAGGCCGCGGCGCCCGAGACATCCTCCAGAGTCGCCGGATCTCGGACATTCTCGATTTATCCTCGCCCGATTTTATCCGCGCCCTGGCTTCGTCTTAGGTAATTCATGTGAACTCAGTACTCGTACAAGACGTATACATGTGTGAGACTGCTTCCACAATCCTGCCTGCTAGCACGCCGCACAGTGCCGTGGGGTATGATTTCTTTTTTTCTGTGCGCCATTCGTTCCGTGAGCGAGAGAAACCCATCAGGACCTCATGAGCACCCCGCCCGTGTGAGCACCTGCCCCGTCTTGGGGTTTCCATGGACCTGTCGTGTAGTGTACCCATACGGAGTGCAATTATTAGTGTCGGCCCACGTGCAAACTGGCCATGTTCGCACTGACCAAAGCCGTGCGCAGACGCTGCTGGTGACGCTTGCATTGCCCTAAGCGGTTCGCATAAGAAAAAACATACGGCAGTTCATTTCCAACCGGTTGGCACTTTATTTTTCATCCAGCAGCGCGTGCCAGCGGCTAGGGGCTAGGTCGACCCCAAACAGCTTGATCATTGCACCGAGGAGTTCTTCGTTACCGACGCGTAGCTGTTCTATTTGTCGTGGTGTGATTGCTAGCCTTCCCCAGACTTCGTCGTATGACCTGCGTGGCGGTGGGCCGCCGTGATCTGCCCATCGCATGGCGGACCACGTCTCCTCTCGCATGACCTCCCCATCCAGAGAGGACCACGCGCTTAGCTCGTGTGTGGCTCTTCCAGGTGTCGAGATTGTTGCGACGCATCTTGTTGCGTAGCAGTGGGTCGATGGTGATGCCGATCGGCTAAACGACGAGGGCGAAATTTGTCAGGTAGAGCGCGACCACTGAACACATGCCTGATTGACGCCCGGTCTGAGCTTGCCACAATACAAGGTGAGCACGAACTATTCCGTGCGTCATGTGGCTGTGAGCAGTGGTTTCGCGGCAATGTAAGCATTGCTTTGGGTCTGGGGCACGCGTTCTGGGTAACGCTGCTGTTGTGGGGGCCAGTATACGAGTTCTCGCCCTTGGCGCTTGTGGGCCAAGTAGTGCCACGGCTTCGGGGATGATGTGTGGGCCAGCTTGCAGCAGCACTCGTCGTGCGTCTTCCTGCGACACTGTGCTGAGGGTCTGCGTGGCAAGCTCCGTAAGTGGACCATGTCTTAATTGTTGGTATGGGTATCTTTCCTGCACTTTTGCGGTACTCATGGTTTCGCGGTAAATGTTTGATGTGGTGCGCGGGGCTGTCCATTGCAAGCGTTGCAGCGAGTGGACAGCGCGGCCAGTCCAATAACAGGTGGTCCACAAGGTGCGCTATTCCATGCAATGTAGACATACACGTAACGCATTGCCCATCAGACCCAGGGTAGCCCCGAGCAAGTGTAGACAATTGACGATGCCTGCATGACACATTTGATCGCAATGAAACAAGTATAGTAGGTTGGCATAGACGAAGGCCCTCACGATGACCTCGCCTGAAGGAAGTCCAATCAAAGTGACTTGGGGCTGAACGGAAAGAGGGGTTAGAAGCCTTGTCGGCGCAAACACAGATGTGGTGAGCACCGCTGTACCTCATACCCACAGTTGTGATCGAAGGCAATCAACTGCCAACAATACCGCACCTGCAACCCAAGACGACAGTGGCCAAAGGTCTCCGTCAGCACAAAATACATGTGAAGAGCACCACCGTACCTGTGAGCCAACATATCGTCAGGATGCCCCCAACGGCACAAAAAGGACCCGCTGGCACAAGAATACTTGTGACGAGCACCAGCTGAGATGAGAAGTCCCCGTCGGCACAGAAAATGCATGTGATGAGCACTACCGTACCTGTGAACCAACATAAAGGTAGGAATCATACCCATGACGAGCACTACCGCACTTGTGATACAAAGCAGCGGCAAGAGGTCCCCGTCGGCACAAAAATACTCGTGACGAGCACCACCGTACCTGTAAAACCAAAATCGCGGCTAGAGGTCCCCGTCGGCACAATCAGACCTGTGACGAGCCCCACCGTATCTGTGATCCAATGTTGTGGTCCTGACATCTGCCACCCACAACAGCAAACGCCGGTCCACCTCTCTCCGTCGTGCTTCGCCCGCGTGCCAGCCCAGGCGTCTTTGGAGAGCGTCCTCGGGGCAGGCGGTCGTCCCCTCGGCCCCGCTCGAAGGCGGCAGGTGATACGAGGCCTCCCGTGAGCACCGCCAGGGTAGACGGGTGCTCCTGCGCACTGGCGATGACGGCCTTGAGCCGCTTCGTGTCGCAGTGGGCAGTCCGGCACTCCTGCGCGTCGTTTCGTGTCGTGGCCAAGCAGCTGTGGAATTTGTGATGCCGCCACGCTTCCCGCAGTACGTGGCCCTTGGCCTTGGGCGAGTGCCAGTGTCCATCCGTGCTGTCCAGGGAGATCGTCTCGTCGATCCCGTGGTGGTACCGTTTCCACTGTGCTGTATTCTTCCACCCCGTCCAACTGAGGTGCTGTCGGATAGTGCCTGCCAGGGTCCGTCCGGCCCCCCAAGCGAATGGCGTGCTGCCGTCGTTCGTTCCTCTGGATGAAGCCCGCGCTGCCGCGACGAGCGTCTCCTGCTGGGCGCGGAATCGCGCGTCGACTCTGTGGTCCACGACCAGGCACTTGAGGTTCGGCGACGACCGTCGCGGTACACTTGTGGCGCTGTGGACGGCCGCCTGGAGCTTGTCCATGGCCGCGCGCAGCGGCGTGGAGTTGAATCTCCTGTACAGAGGCGAAGAGAGCGGCCCTGCAGCTATCGCCTCCAGCCGCTGTCGGGGAGGGAGCGGCAGCAACCGTGCGCGTTCCACCTGTGGTTGTGCTTTGGACACGCGGTTCGCCTCCCTGGCGCGGGCGACCCTGTGCATTCCTCCAGTGAGTTTTCATCCCCAAGACTGTCAAACTTGGGAAGGTGATGTCTGCGCGGACGCCCCGCGCCTGCAGCTGCCGCCGCTTCCGCGGGTCACGGTGCGCCCACTGCTGTTTGTTGTTGTTCTTCACCATCCCAAAGGCTTGTGACCAGTCGTCCCCGATGGCCGCGGTGCCAAGCATACCGCCGAGAGTGCGAGACGTCCACCTACGGTCGTCGATGTACAGGGCCGTGCTGACCCCGGGCTCCCGCGCGGCAACCTCACAGAGCGGACCCGCGAGCACGGCCGTAATGGCCAAGGCGGACCAAGGATCCCCCTGTGGGAGGGAGGTGGTCACGTTTTCTGGCTGCTTGGCAGTGGCCCCATGTAGCTGTAACCACCGTCGTTGGTTGGTCTAATGCCTTCCCAACATATTCGCGACATGTTTGGGCATACCCATCTGCTCCATTGCTGTCGTTGCTGCCATAGGATGTACCCGGTGGAACGCCAAGCTGTAGTCCCAAGACGCACCGAATTCGCCGGCCTCCAGGGCAGCGATGACCCGCGCCGCCGCGTCGTGCACCGTAGTACCCTTCTTTGCCCCGTGGGCCTCTTGCGGCCACCATTCCTTGCACCAGGCGGCGCAGGAGGGAGAACGCAGGCGAGCTGTGGCCCAGACCCTGTACCACGAGCTGAACACCGTGATCGGTCGGAGCTGCGAGACCATCCTGGCTGTGGCAGGGTGGACCGTGCCACAGTTGGGGCACCACCAGCAGGGCGGCGGCGGCGGCGGGGGGCCGGGCGGGAGCGGCTGTTTGTGCCGCTGCCCGCGCCTCGCGGGCCCTCGCCGCCTCTTGGGCCGCTCTTGCCGCCGCCGCCGCCAGGCCCTCGGCCACCAGCAGCATCGCCCTGCCTCTCGAACGGCTCCTGCGCGGGCGAGCTGTGGCGAGCGCCCAGGGCTCCGCGCGGCAGCCCGTCGCCCTCCGCAGCGGGCGGGCGCTCGCGCGCGCCAAGCCGCTCCCGCCTCTGCCAGGCAGGCTCCGGCAGGCGGCGCGCGCGGCCGCCCGGCGCCGCGGCGGGCGGTGGCGGCGCCAGCAGGGGGCGGCTCGGGAGGCCGCGGCCACGCCCCGTCGGCGCAGCGCTGCGGGCGCCCGGCGCCGGTGGCGCGCGTGGCCCCCGGGGAGGGGCGGCGCGCGTGGCCGAGGTGCGCGCGAGGCCGCCGATGCCTGCAGGCATCGGCACCCGAGGCTCGGACCCGGGCAGCAGATCTGGGAGGGAGGGAGGGAGGGAGGGAGGGAGGGAGGGAGGGAGGGAGGGAGGGAGGGAGGGAGGGAAGGAGGGAGGGAGGGAGGGAGGGAGGGAGGGCAGCAGATCTGGGAGGGAAGGAGGGAGGGAGGGAGGGAGGGAGGGAGGGAGGGAGCGAGGATGAGGAAGCCTTCCTTTCTCACTCCCTCCCCCTCCTTCGCTGGCGAGGGAGGTGCACTTTTGCCCTCCGCGCTTCCAGCTCACGCTGGGCGCCTACTACTGCCTGGTGTTCTCGCGCTTCTGCCCTGGCACCGCCGACTGGTTGCCCTGGACTTTGAAGGCGCACTTGAGGAGGATGTGGACGAGAACGACGCGGAGGAACGACGAGGAATGACGAGGAAGAGGAGGAATGACGTCGCCTGAGACAATGAGGGTAAGAATTGGCGAGGCGTGATGAGAAGATGACGCAAGCATGGGTCGATATGATGCCGTGGTGTTCACAGGGTGTCACAGGGTGTGGATTTTGCTGATGGTGTGGAAACGCTACTGATTGACTCTGGACCGTTTTATGCAAGAGGCCAAGGGGGAAACGGAGGAAGAGGACGAGGACGACAAGTATGGGTCTCGTCGTCATCCGCCTTCTCATCCTCGGGATCATGGCGACGGGGGAAGGGGGGAACGAGGGGATGAAGAGGAGGATAATGAGGGACAGTGATGAAAACCATACTTAGGAGTTAGAGTTGGAGTAAGATGTACGAGAGCGGACAGGCTCGGCGAGGATACGCGGTAACGATACGATGGCGATGCTGACGGCGACTGATGGTTTTGATGTTGCTGATGAGGCCGATGAGGAGTTCTGAGGAGCGGTGGTGCGATGGTGATGCTGGTGGAAATGACGGTGGACACGATATTGTTGATGATGAAGCTGGTACGAATGATGACGACAATGAGGCCCGATAATGAGAGAGGGTGGACGGATTGAGAGAGGACGCAAAGGGGGGTGAAAAGGGGGGGAGATGAGCAGGATGACGATGAGATGCAAGCAGGATGAATCAACAGTTGGATGACGACGTGAAACAGGCCAACGAATAGTTGGACGACGTCGACGAAATGAGCAGGATAGGATGACAGGGAGAACGAGGAGGCGGAGGATGAGGAGGAGGATGAGGAGGAGGAGAAGGAGGAGAACGAGGAGGAGGAGGAGTGGATGGGAGGGAAGTAGGATGAGGGGATGAGGATGAGGATGTGGATGACGGCGTAGATGTTTTTCGCCCGGGTTGGTTTTCGCCTGGTGCGTTTCGCCCGGTTCGTTTCGCCTGGGTTTGCTTTCGCCCGGTTGGCTTTCGCCCGGGTTGGCTTTCGCCCGGGTTGGTTTTCGCCCGGGTTGGTTTTCGCTTTCGCCCGGTTGGATTTCGCCCGGGTTGGCTTTCGCCCAGGTTTGCTGTCGCCCGGGTTGGCTGTCGCCTGGGCTTGTTTTCGCCTGGGTTCCCGCGTCCATCAGGAGCGCGGGCGACGGGCATGGATCCCGGGAGGGCCGCGGGCCGGAGGAGGACAGGAAAGGCCGCGAGAGGAACGGAGGAGGGCGACCAGGAGGGCAACGGGAGGACGGGGAGTCGTCGTCGCAGTAGTCGTCGTCCTCTTCGTTGTCGTAGTCGTCGTCGTCGTTATCGTCGACGTCGTCGTCGTCGTCGTTGTGTTATTGTCGTGGTGGTGGTCGTCGTCGTTGTCTTAGCCGTTGTCGTCGTCGTACTCGTCGTTGTCGCTGTCGTCGTCGTCCTCCTGGTCGCCGTCGTTGTCGTCGTCCTCGTCGTGGTCGTTGTCGTCGTAGTGGTCCCGCCCGTCAGGGTCCGCCCGCCCGACCCGACCGGCCTGTTAGGGTTTGCGCGTGCTGAGTCGATCGCGCCCCACACTTCAGGCGGCGCGCCTCAAGGGCTCCCGGGGGTCACGACGGCGGCGGCGACGGCCACGCCAGCGGCGACGGCGCCTGCTCCCCGCCCAGCCCCGGCGAAAGCCAACCCCGCGTCGAAAGCCAACCCCGGCGAAAGCCACCCCAGCGAAAGCCAACCCGGCGAAAGCCAACCGGGCGAAAGCCAACCCCGGCGAAAGCCAACCCCCGGCGAAAGCCAACCCCCTTTGCGAAAGCCAACCCCAGCGAAAGCCAGCCCCAGCGAAACGAAGCCCGGCGAAACGAAGCCCGGCGAAACGAAGCCCGGCGAAAGCCACCTCCGGCGAAAAGCATCCGTGCCATGGATGACGAGCGCGACGGCGACCAGTGATGGGCGAGGAGCGAGGAACGAGGCGAATGAGGCTCGTCTGTGTGTGCCCAAATTTCTCTATTTCCGTCCTCCCTCGCTCTTCCCTCCTGCCTCCTCTCCTCCCCGTCATCGTCAATCCTCCCTCCTCGTCGTCCCTCCTTCTCCCTTCGCTGTTCTTCTCCTCCTCTGCGCCCTCCCTCCTCCTTTTCGTCCTGTTCCCCTTTCCCATTTGGCAGAGGAAGGATGGACATCAGCGAGCATATGAAATAAAGGAGAAAAAGGAGAAGCGAAGAAGAGGAAGGCGATGGCGGCGAGGAGGAGGAGGAGGAGGACGAAGAGGAGGAGGAGGACGGGACGACGACGAAAACGCTCTGTTCGAGGTTTCCAGGAGTCTCCGGAGCTCCCTGTGGCGCTCTGCGGAAGTCTCGAGGGGTCTCCAGAGGCCTCCGGGGGTGGGGGGGGGACCGGAGGTCCCAAAGAGGGCCCGAAAGCAACCAGAAAAATTTGAAGCCTCGGTCCTTTCCTCGATCCTCAGGCTTCGGTCCTCGTAGCCTCGCCCCTCGTTCCTTCGACAGTTCGACCGTCGAAGCCTCGAAGGCCCGGTCCTCGAAGCCTCGATGTCTCGAAGCCTCGATGCCTCGAAGGCTCGAAGCCTCGAAGACTCGAGTCTTCGAGGCATCGTCGGGGGCTTGCCAGACGCGCAAGGCGCCCCCTGGGGGCACGCCGCCGCCGTTGCGGTCGTGGTCGGCGGCGTCTTCGTGGTCGTGGACGGCGGCGTCTTCGTGGTCTTGGAGGTGGTCGTCGTGGCCGCAGTCGTGGTTGTCATGGTCGCGGTCGTGGTCGTCGTGGTGGTCGTGTTCGTGGTCGTCGTTGTCGCGGTCGCGGTCGTGGTCGTTGATCGTGGTGGTCGTAGTGTTCCTGGTCTTCGGGTTTACGCCGCCACAAAGCTGCAATTCGTCACGCTTTGCGTACCCTCACCAGCCCATCCAGGAACGATGCCTAGCGGAGCTTCCCTTCTATTGGGGGAGCGTGGCATCATTGGGATAGCTCGGGGAGCCTCAGTGAACTGGACGCCTCTTTGCTGCCTCTTTAGGATGTCTCGTTGGGAGGGGGGGTCTTGGTGGCCTGTGAGGGCGTCTCTGACCCCTCTTGGGGGCTCTTGAGGGTCTCTTGGGGCCTCCTGGGGGCCTCTCTTAGGGTCCTCTTGGGGATCTCGTTGGGCCATCTTGGGAGCCTGGGGGGCCATCGTGGAGTACATCGATCGCAGAAGGGGGGAAGCATGTGGGGGTTCCTTAAGAAGCGTCGCCCTCTGAGAGCCCTCAGCATAGTCTCGTCGGGCCCTCTTGGGGCGCTCTTGGGCGTTCTTGGAACTCTCTTGGGACCCTCTTGGGTCTCTCTTGGGCCCTCTCGGAGCCATCTTGAGGCCTCGGAAGGCCATCGGAAGAGAACGGACGAGAAGGCCGACATCATTGAGGTTCCTGAGGTTTTGGACAGACTTTGGACTTGTAGCGGTCTTGGGACCTCTTGGAGTACATTGAAGCCATTTTGAGTGATCTCGCGCTATCCTGATCCATCTTGGAGGCCCTCAGGGTCTCTCTGGGGCCCTCGTGGAGCAATCTCAAGCCATGTTGGACGCTCTCATAACCCGCGACACCCCCGTCCAGACCCAGGGGTACGGGGGAGGGGGAGGGGTCAAGGTATTTGCGCTCGCGTCATATCTGACATCCTACCCCTCCCTCCCATCCCTTACCATGGCGCAGATCCCTTCTCTACTCGCACAGTCGGATGTCGAGCAGGGCAATGATCCCGAAAGGGTACGCGATGCATTGTAGAGCACTGCATGGCACGGCGTAGAAGAGCACCGCGAAGCGCAGCATCAACCTAGCATTGCATTGCATGCCGTGGCCTGGCACGGGAAATGACGCCAGCGCTGCAGCGGGAGCACGAGTCGAAACGAGCGAAAGCGCGGAAATGAGGCCAGCGCTGCAGCGGGAGCACGATTCGGAACGAGCGGAAGCACGCCGGCGTCGGCCCGGGAGGCTCGGGCGCCCGAAGCAGAAATTCAGCATTTTCAAAAGGAAAATGTGTCTTGGAGTGGCCTTTTTTCAGAGGCCAGCAACATATGTACACGTACGCGGTTAGCTTCCCCTGGAGGGCGTTTGAACGAGGACGTTCGTGCACTCAAGATCGCGGAGGGCGTACATGTACATATGTCGTTGCTCGCTCATTTTTTTCGGCGCCGCCTCGGAACTCGATTTTCCGGTGGCGGCCAGAACCGGCTCCGGACCCGGCCCGGGCGCCGGCCCAGGCGCCGGCTCGGGCGTCCGGCCCGGGCGCCGGCTCGGGCGCCGGCCCGGGCGTCGGAATCGGCCTGGGAGGCCTCCCGGGCGCCGGAAGCAGAAATTCAGCATTTTCAAAAAAAAGAACATGTGTATTGGAATGGCCTTTTTTCGGCGCCGCCTCGGAACTCGAGTTTCCGGCGGCGGCCGGAACCGGCTCCGGACCCGGCCCGGGCGCCGGTCCGGGCGCCGGCTCGGGCGTGCAGCCCGGGCGCCGGCGGAAATGATGCCAGCGTTGCAGCGGGAGCACGATTCGGAACGAGCAGGGCCCGAAAATGAGGCCGGCGCCTCAGCGAGAGCACCATTTTGGGAAACAGTGCAGGCGAAGACCCAACTCCGGGGAAACTTGTGTGTAAAAAACAGTACGCGGGGTGGTCGAATACTCCCAAGCCGTCACCAGGGGAAGAGGGAGAGTAGTGTTTGTATTGAGTATTGTCAAGCTTCCCCCACCCGAAGGACGGCCGTCTTGCTGCCCACCCGCCCGCCCATCACATGAGTAGCATCCGAGTCTCAGCATGGACAGGGACCGCCTTCGACAATCATCCGGAATCAATGCAGACGCCAGCCAGGAGCGCGACGCGCGCGAGGTGCGCCGCGCGTGCCAGGGCACCCTCATCACCCTGTCACATAACACTGCAAAGTGATCGCGAGGCGCCCGCACCCCCCTCGTCCGTTCAAACAATGCAAAGCGATCGCGTGGTGCCCGCGCGTTATCCAGATTCTGCCGCAAAGTAGATCTGTACT